GGGAGGGGGCACAGCCAGGACAGCTGACCCAAACTGGCCAAAGGGATATTCCATACCATGTGATGTCATGCTCAGTACATAAACTGGGGGGAGTTGGCCGGGGAGGGGTGACCGCTGCTCGGGGACTGGCTGGGCATCGGTCGGCAGGTGGTGAGCAATTGCATTGTGCATCACTTATTTTGTATATTCTTTTATCATTATTATTATTATTTTCCCTTCCTTTTCTGTCCTATTAAAATGTCTTTATTTCAACCCACCAATTTTACTCTTTTTTTTCCCCCAATTCTCTCCCCCATCCCACTGGGGGCGGGGGAGTGAGCGAGCGGCTGCGTGGTGTTTAGCTGCCTGCCAGCTTAAACCACAACAAAATCACGAGTCGTTTCAGTTTGGCCAAGTTTTAATCAAAGCTCTTTTTTACCCTACAAACAAATATACTGAATCCAAGTTTGATAAGACAGATTGTTCTTTTAAAGACTTACTTATTTGACGTTATAAAACAAATTAGTTCATCTCTAGACTGGCCTCCTTACATGTTTTGTTTTTTTTTTAATTAGCAATGATTCTGCTGCGGAGAGGTTGTGTAAAATGTATCTCCTATGAGACATATTTTTGTCATGGGTATTGCTTTTCAGAGCTCCAGCATTTTAAATTATGCTTGTAGAAGATACCAATTTTAAAATTTACTCATTTCATCCACATCTGTTCTGCATTCCATGGAGAAAAGACAAGAGTATTGGGTGCCTGAACACTTTAGGAGTACTACATGTGTTTGTTAAGACAGCTCTTTCACACAAGTGTTAATGTTCTGCTTACGTCTTTGTAAATAGGGATGGCAGCCTGAAGGAGGTCTTTCTTAAGGGCAAGTCCCAAAGAGGAAAAACAGATGGGCAGAGACAGCATCAATGGAGTAACATCTCAAAGTATACAAGCTTGTAAGTTAGTCAGACAACAGGTTAGTGAAAGACAGGAGTCAACTTTTTTGGACCAAGGACGTTCTGAAACAAGCAAGTAAACAACCAGAACATTCTGTTGTCTTTAATCTGATTTCTTGTGCAATGTAAGATGAAAACAGCATTTCAGAAAAAAATGAAAGTACTTTATGAAACTCCTTTTTAATTAAATTTGCTAACTCTTACGTTCTGCCTGTTCTCAAAGAAAATTTTTGATGTCTTAGTACATATAAGAAAAAATATCAATATATGCTGTAGTTTTCCCCTTCACATCATCAGTCTAGACTCTGCTGTTCAAATAAAACAAGAAATTCCTGCTCAGAAGTCTTTTTACAGGTATATATTTCATGCAATCACACAATGTGAATCTTACAGATACACTGTATATATCCTTCAAAGAAGGATAGGCTCAGTCACACATCAAAACACGTTATTATCCTTCTCCCATAAATATGATACAATTCCCTACATTTAAATGAAACTGTATTTAAAGAAAGGATAATATGGGAATACTACTTCTTGATAAGTGGTACATCACACAATTTTTAACAGAGCAGAAGTTTCCAAAAAACACAAGCAAAACTCAAAGAGTAGCCAAAGCAATTACTTTCATGCACCTTTTGATAAAGCTTTTGTGATTTATTAGAGATCGATCATGGGATACTTTGTATTCTTAGAAACAGAACCCTGGGTTTTGTACTAATCGAGAGAAATGCATATAAAGACAAAAAATGTAATTTCTCAAAATCTGTGGCAGATAAGTTAGAGTACAATGCAGCACTTGCATCTGCATCCAGGCCAAAACATGGTCCATCTCCTTTCTCCCAAGTAGAGTGAGTACAGTATATTTCTTTA